GAGAGCCGCTGCCAGTCTGAGTAGACAAGACTGACCTTGATGGACCCAGGGTCTGATTCAGTGTAAGGCGGCTTCATGCGTTCAGTAGTTTAAAAACTCTCCTACAGTGTTGTAAAGTGTCAAAATGGCTCCAGTGATCATACCATCAAACTTCAACTAAAACTGATTCCGTTCAGTGTGGTAAGATTATTTCAGTAGTTGATTCTTTTCACAGAAGGTATGCTTTTTCTTTGAATATGAGCATTGTTTATTATGGCAGGGCAAAATGTTTTTCAGGTCAATATCAAGGCCCCATGACATACCAAACTGTGTTTTAAGTTGCATGAGATTTTGTTTTGAAGGTATAACAGCTGTTTAATTCCCACAATCTAGTTATTTTTAATTCTGCAAATGGGGCTCTTTAATCCTTAAATGAATCTATTCAGCTGAGTTAAGTCAACAAACCATTATTGGGGTAATAAAGCCCCAAAATGGTTTGTCAGTTTGAGAAGTGCTTTCAAATTAAAAATTCTTTAAAAGTTTAAAAGGAACTCTAATTCATGTTAACTCTTTTTTCAAAGCAAATAATTGCTTGAAGTTCATCCTGTGTTCTCTCTTGGAACTGATTACTGTAGTCAGAAGTAGTAGAGCTCTGGGTACCTTTATAGCAGGAAGCTGAACTATTTAAAAACTCAGGCTGGGATCCGTTAACATTTCCTCTTTCACCAGTCTGGCATTACCTTCTCAGAATGGTTTCAGTAGGCAGTTCTGTTACTTTGAACCGATTCATGTATACTTCAAGGACATAATTTCATAAACTCTTGTGCTTACCATTCCTATAAAAAAGCAATGTGTTTAGAAAGTAATCTTAAATTATTTTTGTGCGGTAGTTAACACATTCTCAAACTCTAGCAGTCATATTTTTATTTTATTTTCATATGCATAAACCGATGACCTGAAATGGAGGGAAAGCCTGCCTTGGCAGGGAGGTGCGGGATATAAATTTAAAAAATAAATAAAGTGCTATAAAAGCTTCTTAAACTGAATGAACCGCTTTGGAAGCAGTTCTTTGTATCTTTTATGCTTCTGTGTAACAAACCTCCCAAGCAGGGCCTTATACGTCTCCATACATGAAAGATGCTGGTTCTCCCTGTGTCTGGAGCTTACACATCTTCCCATGCAAGAGATGTGCTTTCACTTCAAATCTCACAAAGATGTGTGAAAGCGAGAAACACTCCAAGGTTCAAAGCTGCTTAGAGTTTCGTTCCCATCTATTCTTTCTGTGCCAATTTACATAATGGTATACAAAGTCTTATCATGATGGTGTACAAAGTCTTATCATATATCACCAACTATTACCATTTTTATTCAGTGGAGGCTCCTCAAGAAGGGACCAATGTAAGTGCTTTTTTGTGTGGCTCAGTATCATCTTCACAACTACCCAGACATTTCTGATAACCCAGTCACACACCGTTTATAGTATGGAATAGACTTCAGAAATCCCAAATAGGTAACCTATGCTCAAGTGAATGCATGAGGTAGGAAAACTACTGCTCCCAAAGACTGCTCCCCTTTGTTTTGACAGATTGCTGGGTAGTCTTCTTTTCTGTAGGGTTGAAGCAGAGATCCTTCCTTTATAGCCCCCTAAAGAACCACCTCACTAAGTTACTGAATCACATTTCAAAATGTCTTCGGATATCTGGTTTGAGTTCGGCTTCCTAGTTTGCAAGATGTATTTTAAACTACAGACCAACATTAAGGATGCTTTTTAGACAAAGTCTGTTGTGAGTGACAGGCAAACCAAATCTCTCAATCAGCAGAATGAATGGCTGTACCTGTGCTGATAAGTGTAAGTGTGGTCCAGTAGTTGTGGTGCCCAGCAAACTTAGGTTAATGCCATCTAAATTGCTAATGGGTTGTCTCCAGCATGGTATATACCAAGTTACTTTGGGGGTTGTTAGTTGGAGAAGCTGTGTAGAGACTCCACTGGTGGACCTCCTGATGGCACCTGGTATTTTTGGCCACTGTGTGACAGAGAGTTGGACAGGATGGGCCTTTGGCCTGATCCAACATTGGCGTCTCTTACGTTCTTATGTTCCTTTTCTTAAACTTGTGTGCTTTTTGTCCTAACGTGAGGAAATGTCATAGAAACTAAGCACGCTTAGAGTTATTTTAGGTAGAACGTAACTGTGAGATATCCATGCATCTACTGTTTCATTTAAATGGGCCCTCAGCTACTAATGTTAGAGGACAGTAGCCCAGATCAATGATCCATCTAAGCTATGGAGTCTTGTGAGCTAATGGCGTTTAAGCTGTGAGCAAGCAGTTTGGCTACTGCATAAATTAGTTTGCTCTGGAGCCATCCTTCCTGAGCTCAGACAAAAATTGTGAGCCGGAGGCTAAAAAACTGTGAGCTAGCTATATCACTATACTAGACTTCAGTGAGTTCATTTCTCCGTCCTTGTTCTGCCAATCCCAACAGTGGTCGAATCTGCATTTGTCTTTTCCACTGGTGTCCCAGCCTTCTGACTCCGTCTTCAAAAAAGCTGTCTGCATTTGGTTTTGTTTTCACACCTTAACAGTGCTAGCATACGTTTGCACATCCACATATGTTTATCACCTTCTCATGGTGGCTCCACTGTCATTGCGCCTCCCCACTGCTTTAAAAGAATCTTCTCCAAACAATGTTTGGAGAAACGCCCTGAGGCCGTTCGCGGGGAGGGCGGGGTATAAATATAATAAAATAATAATAATAAAAATAATGTTCAAACAAGCATAGAGAAAGATGGTGTCACAGCAGCACGAAACTGATTTTAAAATGCAAATACCGATTTGACCAGTGACTGCTTGCCACCAGCAGGAGAAACACAGGTGTAGTCCTACCAACAAAAGGGCCTCTGTCTTCCAGTACTTTCATTCAGTGAATGATCCCTGACACTTTCCGAGCCGCTCCTCCAACTTATCCTGGACATAAATGGAAGGCTCAGAAGTCCAATTTTAAATACAGGCAAGAATTTCACCACCTTGTCTCTGTACCTTGGTGAGCATGGTGACAACTTTAGGCTATTTCATTTGGGGCAGAGTGACCACAGTAAAACATAAAAAGGGAACACAGATACAGGACATATGCAGTGATGCACAGGCAGACTTATAGCAGTTCTTCCTTTCCAGCACACAGCGCTTTCCTACTTATGGATTGGTTGCCCAAGTTCTTGCATAAGCAAGCACGCAGGGATGTTCTAGGCTGATCCTGCATGGAGCCGGAGGTTAGATGGTCTGTATGGCCCCTTCCAGCTCTGTGATTCTATGAATCTAAGTAGGTGTACAATAAAAAGTTGGCATAGCACAAGTGGCTACTCCAGTATTTTTCTTGCATTCTTCCGGCACAGGAGTCCCAGCACAAGTGGAACTTTTACACTGGATCCAACCCAGTTCCTAGGCCAACATATCTATTTATGATCATAAAATTAGAAGTGGGATATATGCAAGGCTACCAGATTTGGGATTTTTAGATTTTTGTGCTGATTTTGTCTAGGTTGGCACTTTTGGAGACCTGTTTCTCTGTTTCCAAGTTGGGTGAGAAGCCAAGAAACTGACCTAACCTCTGCACACACCCCCATCTGAATAGCACTCTCCTTGAACGCTTTCCATTCCAGTGCCCTTTTAATGCACATCAGAGTAGGTGCAACGTGCTGAGCTTTTGGATTCCAGAAGGCTCTTCGGAGCCTGTTGCAGACCTGATGGTCGTGATGCTGCAGGAGCAAAGCCCTTCTGTTCTTTTGGCTACTCATTATTAAGACTTTTATTTCCAGGCAGAGGAGAAACTAACTAGAGGAAACAACTCTGCAGCTGTTTACCCACCCAGGGGGCGGGATTTAATATAACCTTAGCAGAATGGGACTCCCCTCCCCCCAAATGTTCTATAAAAACATACCAGTGAAGATTAGGTGTCACTACTTGCATAGCAGCCCAGTTTAAACAAGGCACTTGTCATAGGTAGTATCATAAAGCTAAGGTCTTCTTCCCATCAGGCATAAAGTTTAGACCTGGTTGGACACTAATTTCTTGCCAAAGAAGAGTGTTAAGTTTCTGTTTATCACTGGCTACATCATGTTGGGAGAGAATAGTTGTGCAAATCTTTTTTGAGTGAGTGTGTGCATATGTGGTCATCCATCCCTTCTGCAGAGAGTCAAAGTGTTGTACAGGGTTTTCTCAGGCAGTGACCGGACCGAAACTTCCTTAGCTTCAGCAAGGTTTCTTCGTCATTTGGTTGGTCTTTTTAATAAGAAAGGGAATGGGGCTGCTTCAAATGTTAACTGTCAGTATGAGCTGGACTTAAATTTTGTACAAAAGTCCTTTAAGCTGTGTCTGGGTCAGTGCGTACAGAAACAAATTCTATCCTCGTTTGGAATTTAAAAGCTTGAAGATTTCCTCTATTCAGCCCCCTCCTTAAATGTGTCATAACAGTTCATTTTTGTTGCTTTAAAGGGATTATAGGAAACATAAGCGAAATATTAGAGGATTACATTTTAAACTGTTTTTCTTTTTAATATTGTTGTTATTAAGACCGATTTCACACAAGAGCTGTGCCGTGGTCGTGCCTCCCTTTGCCCCGCTTCTATTGGTCAATTTCCCACTTGAAGCCGTGTGGCCGCATTTTGACCTGCAGCTTCACCCGATTTCCCCCGTGGTTTCGTGATCCTCAAAAAACAGCATCACGAAACCGCGGGGAAAATCGGGTGAAGCCACAGGTCAAAATGTGGCCACACAGCTTCGAGTGGGAAATTGACCAATAGAAGATGGGCAGAGGGAGGCGCAACCGCGGCGCAGCTCTTGTGTGAAATCAGTCTTAAGTGTCTGATGTCATTTTAACCCATAGTGATTAGGCTTCAGAAACTAGTCTGGCAAAGTTTGACAGTTATTGCACAAATCAACATAGCCATATTTCAGACCAAGGGATATATATACCAGATTAGAAATGTGGTGTTTTCAGGACTGTAATTTTCCTTGTTCCTCCCCAGTAATTGATTTAATATGTTTTTCATTCCAGAGAGCGTTCACGTTAATAATCGAAGCCTGGGATTTGGATAATGAGACTAAAGCTGGTGAGTATATCTTTAAAGAATTTGAACATTGTGAAATTGAAAATATGGGGGGGAGGGATGCCGCTATGAATTAAGTTTGCCCCCCCCCATTGAATATATCCAGATACCCCAGTTTAATTCAAACGGCATGTTCTCCCGTTCTCAGACAACAGCTGCTGTTGTCGTTAGGCTTGCCATTTTGCCCCACCCCTGAGAAATTGAGGATCAGGAGAAAAAATGCTCTGGGAATTTCTTCATGTCTCCGTGATCTGTACCCCAGGAGATTCCTAGATTGTCATGCAGAAGTGCCATCTTGCCTTCCCCGGGTACCACCCTCAAAATCTTCTAGTATGTGCCAAGCCATTGCTGGCAACCTTAGTTGATGACAGTACCGAGTCAACAACTTTGTATATTGTTCTGACAAATCAGCTTATGTGTAGTTAATTAGAGACACGGCTAAAAGTAGTGGTTGCTTTGAAGATTAAGTGCTGTTTAATACTGGCTACTTTGTTTCCTATATCTCTGCATCTGTATCATCAGTGTAGAGCTCAGGTATGCATTGTGAATAAGAAAACCCCGCACATTGAAAATATTTAAATCACATTATTTACATATTTAGAACACTTTTAACCTACTTCTTAGGGCACTAGAGTTGACATGGGTTATAATAAACTTTCTCTTGCATGGAGTGGGAAGCGTTTGGCTTTTCTTAGCTGCGCAAGTGTCCATCCTTATTTGTCAAGGCAAGTTATGTTGTATAAAAAAGTCTATGCACATTTCCTGTTTTCAGAAATTCATAACAGCACTAAGGCTGATTTACAAAAAGACATTGCACTTTTGATAGTCGTTCACTTGCGTCCTTTGATGCCCACAGATCATCTGTCCTAATGCAGCTTCCTTATTCTGCTCATGGTAGAGTTGAACTTAGAATTAATTTTGAACAACGTAGCTTGTGTTAAATAAGCCAATCTTGACTCATCATATAGTTTGCACTCATGTAGAATGAACAGCTGAACCAAAAGAATGTGGATTTGCTTGGATTTTTTTGTACGTGGTTGACATTAAACTGAAACCCATTTTACTTTTTAAACACTTTGTTGCTGGTTGTGGTAAGAATTTTTTTGGTATCTGGAAATAGTCAAAGGAACTTGTACCTCGTCCAGTAGCCCGGCTTTTACACTAAACTCTCAACATGTCTAACAAGCATTGCACACAAAATGAAATTCTTTCAGCAGGTTTTTCTTCATCCCGGTGCTAGCTTGTGTGTTTTGATGTTTCTCGGTCAGGGCTATTTTTGGGCAGGAACGCACAGGAACGGAGTTCCGTCTGGCTCCTGAGTTGGCCACGCCCAGCAGGAACTCATTCGCATAATAGGCCACACCCGAAAGCAGAAACTCATTAGGATTGGCTACATTAGGGGTGTGTGGCCTAACATGCAAAGGAGTTCCTGCTACAAAAAAAGCCCTGGGTTTTGACAACAAACAAGGTAAACAGAATAAGAAGGGAAAGGTGGGTGTCGCTGGATGACCACACTTCTGGTAACATGGGGGTGTGGCCTAATGTGCTAATGAGTGGTGCTGTCAGGGTGTGGCCTAATATGCTAATTAGTTTTGTTGTTGGGTGTGGCCTATTATGCTAATGAGTTCCTGCTGGGTTTTTTCTACAAAAAGAGCCCTGTATAATCTCAGTTATTATCCAATTCTATAGAATACATAAAGTGAAAAAGCTAGCTAATGCAGCATTCAGCCGCATTTTTAGGCCATAGTACATTAAACTTATTAGCAAGATAATACAAAAGAAGTTGGATGCCCATCTGGATGGGATCGTGCGTCATCTGCATGTGGATCCCATTAAAAGCAACATAGTGCAGGGAGAAGCACCTGCACTGTGGTTCCCAGTCAAGCAGCTGATACATGTGTAGACTTGCTTGTGCCCTCAGATTACCTTGACTCTGACAGCACAAATGATTAATTTGCTTCCCTGTTCGGGGACCCCCTTTGGGCACTTGTGGGTAGTGGCTTGTTAATGTTAAGCATCAGTTTAAGCAAACCCACTATGCTAAATTGGACCATTGTTTAACTCTGATTGGCAGGAGCTCTTAGGTCTCTGAGAGAAGTCTTTCACTTCACCTACCTCTTGATCTTTTCATATCAGGACTGCTTTGGGAGAGGAACTTAATCTTTCTGTCCGTCCATCGTTTTGCTATTCAAAAAAGGCCCTACATGGTAGTAGTGTCGCTTTTAAAGTCTAAAGGAAATCCCTGGTATTTCCAACCGTTTCATTTACCCCTAAACATAAGCATTTTTGGATTTCTGCAGGTCCAGCTCCCTGAAAAGTTTTATACTCGTATTGCTTGCTTGAAGCTGTCTTCCATTCAGTTGCCAAGGTATAGGAGGCCCTCCCTGTTTAGACTAGGGACCAAACTAGATGAAGTGCTGGAGATCCATGATTTGGTCTCCAGAGTCTTTTCTAGTTTGCCCCTAGGGTGGTTGAATTACCATACATCATCCAGTCTGCAAAGAAAGAACTCTACTCCCCTTGCTTCTTCAATGGCAGTTTGGAAGAAAGGTGTTGGCTCTCAAACCATAGTGGCAAGCATCTGTAGGTTGAACTATGCATGATATGGGACTTTCTGTGGTCAGAGCCGCCAGCTTTTTAAATGTGTAATCCAGGCACTAGGGATCTAAATCTGAAGAACTGGTGCAAGGAGAAAGGTTAGGTACCCCCTCTACTCTGCCTAAATGAATCCCCCCCCCAATACACACAATTTCCTGTTAGTGCCACTAATAGGTGTACAGTGGAGTGGATCCTATCTGTAGCCTACTCTACTGAGCAAAGGGTTTTTTAAATTTTTCATATATATGTGTGCGCGCACCTGGAAGTCATGGCGACCTCTGGTGACTGACCCCTACTTGGGGGCCTGAAGGTTATTCAAAGAGGTGGCTGAGTAAAGCCTCCTCCCACCTCTGGTATTCCAAGGAGGTCTCCCATCCAAGTGCTTGCCAAAGTCGACCCTCCTTGGCTTTTGAGATCTGACAAGATCAGACTTGCCTGGGCTATCCAGGTCAGGGCTCTGAGCAAAGTTTATGAATGTGTGTATTTATTAAAGTATTTACACCTTCCTGTTTGGTGCAGGTCTGAAACCTCCCTCAAACTTATTTATTTATTTATTTCACTTTTACCTTGCCCCTCCCCACCAGGCAGGCTCAGGGCGGCTTCCAAAAACTGTCAAGCAGTATACATACACAATAAAATATAAATACAAGGCGTCAGTTAAAACTGATAAAACGGTATGCGGATACTGACAAAATAGAAAACCATGTATGTAATCTTATTACATGGGCCAACAACTAATGAGGATAAATTAATAACCAAATGTACAATGTGTGTTTATAAATAAGTTGAAGAAGAGAGAAGAAGAGGAGATTGGATTTACACCCCACCCTTCACTCGGAGTCACAGAGTGGCTTAAGGAATCTTCCTTCACCTTAGGTGGCTCTTCCTCTAATGGAACAGCTGCTTAATATGGAGGAAGGCTTCCTGTGGATGGCTGGATCCCCGCCAGTGTCTACACTTGTATTTTTCCTTGTGAGGGTTACAGTGGCTGCATGGTAGTCATGGTGTCTATACAGAAATGATATGTGGGGAAGTTAGGGTTGCCAGGCCAGCTCCAGGTTCTGGAATACCTGGAGATTTGGGGGGGGGGATAGTGGGGCATAAGGCCATAGAGTCCACCCTCCAAAGCAGCCATTTTCTCTGGGGGAGCCGATATCCATTGTCTGGAGATCATCTACGATTCCAGGAGGTCCCCAGGCTCGACCAGGAGGTTAGCAGGACAAAGTGAGAACACGATATACAGATGCTGACAAAATAGAAAACCATGTATGTAATCTTATTACATGGGCCGACAACTAATGAGGATAAATTAATAACCAAATGTACAATGTGTGTTTATAAATAAGTTGAAGAAGATAGAAGAAGAGGAGATTGGACTTACACCCCACCCTTCACTCGGAGTCTCAGAGTGGCTTACCAATTCCTTTCCCTTCCCCTCCCCACAACAGACAGCCTGTGAGGTAGGCGGGGCTGAGAGAGCTCTTGAGAGAACCGTCCTTGAGAGAACAGCTCTGACAGAACTATGGCTTGCCCAAGGTCATCCAGCAGCTGCAAGTGAAGGAGTGGAGAATCAAACCCGGTTCTCCCAGTTTAGAGTCCATGCAGTTTCACGGCTCCACTTATCAGCAATATTTTCAAAAAGACACTTGACATTTTCAGTGAGTTATCTACTACGACTCCAAGATCTCTCCCTTGGTCAGTCTCTGCCAGTTCAGACCCCATCAACGTGTATTTATAGTTAGGATTTTTGGCTCCAATGTGCATCACTTTGCACTTGGCCACATTGAACCCCATTTGCCACGTTGACGCCCACTCACCCATCCTCGACAGATCCCTTTGGAGTGCCTCACAATCCTCCCTGGTTGTCACCACCCTGAACAACTTCGTGTCATCTGCAAATTTAGCCACTTCACTGCTTACTCCCAACTCCAAATCATTAATAAACAAGTTAAAAAGCATCGGGCTGAGTACTGATCCCTGTGGTACCCCACTGCTTACCACCCTCCACTGAGAAAATTACCCACTAAAAAAAATAGCCAGTTTTTGATCCATAAAAGGACTTGTCCTTTTATCCCATGATTTTTGAGCTTACTTAGGAGACTTTGATGAGGAACTTTATTAAAAGCTTTCTGGAAGTCCAGGTAAACATCTATTGGGTCCCCCTTGTCCACATGTTTTTTCACTCCCTCAAAGAACACTAACAGGTTAGTGAGACAAGATCTTCCCTTAAAGAACCCATGCTGAGTCTTCCTCAGTAGTTTTTGTTCATCTATGTGCCTATTAATTCTTTCCTTAATAATAGTTTCCACCAACTTACCTGGTATCAAAGTCAGACTGCCTGGCCTGTAATTTCCCTGATCTCCTCTGGAACCCTTTTTAAAGATGGGAGTGACATTAGCTACCTTCCAGTCCTCAGGAATGGAGGCAGATTTTAATGAAAGATTACATATTTTTGTCAGGAGATCCACAAGTTCACATCTGAGTTCTTTCAGAACTCTCGGATGTATGCCATCCGGGCCTGGTGATTTTTCAGTTTTTAAGTTGTCTATCAGTCATAGGACCTCCTCTCTCGTCACCTCAATCTGACTCAGGTCTCTCAACACCGCTCCCGAAATCAGTGGTTCTGGATTGGGCAAGCACTTCTCACTTGAGGGCTATATCTGAAAGAACTGTGGCTGATCGCTGTGGAGTGCTGCTGGGTTGAGAGGAGCTGTTCCACCTTTTAAATAAACTTTGTGGGAACATGGCAAGTTTAAGCTAGCTTCCTATCAAGTTAGGACTGCGTTTTGTAACTAAAGCAATCTTATTTACAAACTAAAGACTCCTATTTGGAAGTTTGAAGTGGTGTGTGACTGCTACTGAGAATGTTATTGATTTGGATTCAGGAATCGTCTCTTCTTTCGTCCATTGCACAGTCTTGGGATTTACTAATGAATAACGATTTTACAAAACGCTGAGGAACATTTTCTATGGACTGCTTTTGAAAATGTTGCTGGTGGTTGAGCTGGTTTCTATGGATTGTTTTTGAAAATACCGCTGATAAGTGGAGCCATGAAATATCTTTCTCTGCTTATTTATAAACACACATTGTACATTTGGTTATTAATTTATCTTAGTTGTTGGCACATGCAATAAGATTGCACACACGGTTTTCTGTTTTCCCACCAGGAGGTTGGCAACCATAGGGGGAAATGTTAGATAACCTACCCTGCACCGACCAGATTCTAAGTCCTGGTGCCTGGTTTAAACTAAAACACAGAAGTAGAGAGAGCCAATCCTGAGAATTCTATATTACGCTCCTTGCTTAACTCTCTCTGTGTTTATAAGCTGTTCTTTGACAATCCTTTCAGGGCTCTTTTTCTGGAAAGAGAGGTGCCGGAACGCTCAAGGGGGAAATGAAGTTTTCAGTCTGTATACTTGGAAACTCACGAACTTTTAAACATTTTTAAAAGAATTTTGTTGAAGAGGTTCTGGAACTCCATTCCGGTGCATTCCCCCAGAAAAAAAACCCTGCTTCTGAGCAAAGAGGCATCGCTAGGTTACAAAAACGACTTGGAGTACCTTTGAGAACGGATGGGGCTATTACTTCCCACTGTTTCCCTATAGCATTTGGAGTCCGCATTCCATTGGGCTGTGCCTGATGCTGTTTGGGGGTGTGTCTTTTTTTGGAAATTCTAGTATTTGCCCTTATACTTACATTTGGAATGCAGTTTGTTTATTTCTTAATGTCTTAAGAAGACCAGTGTTCAAAGATGGAGTTTCTGGTTCTTTCGAAACCTGTAGTTGAAGGTTTGTGTACAGAATTCCCTCTGTGCTAATATAAAAGTATAGAGTTGTGCACATATAGGTGACGTATCAGCCTCTGTCGTGCTTATGCAAGACCGTGTGCTGGTTGGCAAGGATGCTGTCTTTCTGCCCCACATACAAAAGGCTAATTCTAGCTTCCCTTCTCTGCTAGCACAGGTGCTGGGTGGGCTGAAGGGCAAAATGCCAGTGCAACAAGAGAAGGTCAGTCTGAATTAACCCCTTCTGTACTGCTGTAGGCAGGAATCCTGCAGCTTGTTACTCAGACATGCTTGTCTGTCTCCAGAGAGACTTAGCGGAGATCTCGTCTCTCTGTGTGTGACCCTCTACAGTCTCTTTTCTCAACTGCATACTTGAACGCTGGCCCTTTGTAATGAACAACATACCTCTCCATGAGTAATGGGAGAGAACCAGTCCCCCCTCCCTTACCCCAACAATCTAAAATAGTTTGAGATGAAATTTGAGTTCAGCCACTCTAGCAGAGCCTCGCTGTCCATTCTTAAGTGGGTGTACTTCTGAAAGGCTGGTTCCATTAGCGGGCCAACTTATTCATGACTTTTGTATCTTCCATAATGGTGAGTAAACCCCAGAGGGCCTCAAATGTAAAACACTGTTGTTATGGTAACCAAAGTTGAAATCTAATAGGACATTGCTGCTGCTTTGGGGTTCATGTTCAGTGTTGGACTGAACCACAGTAGAACTTTACAAAGCAGAAGACAACTCTTGCACGTACCAGTCAGCAAACGTCTCAACCTGGATGGCCCAGGCTAGGCCATTCTCGTCAGATCTCGGAAGGCAACCAGGGTCAGCCCTGGTTAGTACCAGATGGGAGACTACTAAGGAAGTATGGGGTTGCTACACACAGGCAGGCCATGGCAAGCCACCGCTGTTCGCCTCTTGCCCTGAAAACCCTGTGGGATCGCCATAAGTCAGCAATGACTTGACAACACTTTCTACCACCGGTCAAATAAACTCCATCGCATCCTTTTCATCTCGCTTAATAGCCCCTGTAGCAGCAAACTGTCAACATGATAAAATTCCTACAATAACCCAATGGCGAGCTAAAATATGGGATATGGTTGTCTCCGACAAAATTGCAATGCATCTTATATCGCAAGACAACCCTAATATTGAAAACAGCTTTATGGAAAAATGGTTCGTTTTCTTTGAATATATTGCAAACTGTCAACCACAGACTTTCAATCTACCGCAGAAATACAAGGACTTTGCTTTTTATTAGCACAACGTTGATTGTATATAAGTTTTTAATGGTTTAAATTTAACTTAAATTGTTTTTGTAAAGGTTGGAAATAGTTTATTTTTATGTTTTATATTTATATATAAAAATTAATTAAAAAGTCATTTGCAACATGATTGATATTGGTTTGTCACTATTTTACACTCTGGTTGACAACGGTATCACCATTTGAAATTATCATTTGCCAGTGCAGCAATGTGTCTTGTGCTGGCTCTCTTGTCCCTAATGGGGTGGATCCTACCACTCCACTGAGCAAAGTTTGCTTATTTTTATTGATACATTAAAATAGTTGTACCCTGCCTTTCCTTTTGACTCAAGCATGAAGCCTTTCTCTGATCTAAGGAGCTTTCCCCTCCCAACTTAAGTGGCTCTTCTGTTGGAGGAAGACTCCTTAGTTAGAGGGATTCTACTTGGAGGATGGTTGGATCCCACCCTACTGTCTTGTCTTTGTGTGTGAGACAGATGGCATGCATTACTCTATGGTCTTCTTATTTTCTTTCTTTAAGATGAAGGTGAATTCATTGATCGAGTGTCATACGCCGGCATGATCAACCCAGAGGATCGATGGCAGACGCAGAAGCTCAATGGCCACGTTGCTCATTTTGAAGTCCAAATCAGAGTGAAATGTGATGAAAACTACTATGGCCCGCAGTGCAATAAATTCTGTGGCCCTCGCGATGACTTCGTGGGCCACTACACATGTGACCAAAATGGAAACAAAGCTTGTATGGAAGGCTGGATGGGTAAAGACTGCAAACAAGGTACCACAGTTCTCAGTTTCAGACCTTGGAATACTGTGCTCGAATCTGGAATGGGAGGTGCTTTGTTCGTCATGGTCATATTTAAGAGCTGATTACCCTGCACGATGCATCCGATGCCTGCTGGGTCTGGGTCTACAATAGGACTTGCAGTCAGGTGTACATCAGTGGAAACCCACCTTGAGAATTTCTCATTTGTTCAGTGCTGTGAGGGAGCGCTACCGAGGGGGGGGGGGAGACCTTCTGGTTTCCCTTCCATCCCACCTTCACCAACAGAAAGGGTTAGGGTTTTCTTTTCTCTGGCTTCATATGTCCTTGCTAGGGCATGTGTGAAGCCTGAGAAAAGGAGCAAAAAGCACCCCCTCCGCCCTTTCCGCTGGCAAAAGTGGAGTGAGAGAAGAAACAGAAGCTCCTTCTTCCCCACTTGTAGTGCTGAGCAGATGAGTGCTTTCAGGCAAGTTCCCCTCAATTTACAGCTGATTTGTGAGTCTGGCCATTGCAGCCATGATCCCTCACATGTCAGGTCAAGTGTATTGTGTCGTTTGGCCCTGAGCCTGCAAGCCTTTGCAAGCTAATGACCTACTACTGATGTATGGCTCCCCCAAAGGGGAGGTTTTGACTTTTTCATATTTCTGTATGGAACAAAGTTTGAGTCTACTGGCACCCTTAAGACCAACAAAGTTTAATTCTGGGTATAAGTTTTCACATGCATGCACTCTTTCTCAGATTCTTCAGAATTAAACTTTGTTGGTCTTAAAAGTGCCACGGGACTCAGACTTCGTTCTGTTGCTTCCGACCATCAGGGCTACCCACCCAAATCTATATTTCTGTATGGTTTCTTATACTGAAGTGGCCTTCATTGTGTAGGAAAGGAGACTCAAGGCTGTTTCCATGATACCATTTTTAAAAAACCTTTGGTGTTGACAGATCCTGCTTTCATTGAGCTCAGAACTCCATTTGCCCCAGCTCTCCAGTTACGACCATGCAATTTTTCACACACACTTGAAGGATGAGCTGAGAGTATGCTGTTTATCCAGGGGCATCCTTCCTTTCAAGTTGCTTCAACTTGATTAACTTAATCATCAAGTGAATGGGTTGTGTTGCTTTAGAGACTTAATCTTGGTCATCACGAATATGTTCAAGGAACAGTATTTAAAAGTGTTTGGTATAAATTTTGGAGAACTGAATACTGTGAGCCTTGCGAATCGCTGAGCAACATCTGTTGGTTATCCCTGGCCCAAAGGACGTCCGTCTAGCCTCAACCAGGGCCAAGGCCTTCTTGGTCCTGGCCTCTACCTAGTGGAACAAGCTCCCACTTGAGATCAGGCCCCTGTGCCACCTATTACAGTTCCTCAGGACCTGCAAAACGGAGCTGTTCCGCCATGCCTTTGGTTGAGGTGATGGAGGTCATTTGGAATACTGTGTGCAGTTCTGGTCACCACACCTTAAAAAGGATATTATAGCTTTGGAAAAAGTGCAGAAAAGGGCAACTCGAATGATAAAGGGGTTGGAACACTTTCCCTATGAGGAAAGGTTAAAGCGCTTGGGGCTCTCTAGCTTGGAGAAACGACGACTGAGGGGTGACATGATTGAGGTTTATAAGATTATGCATGGGAAAGAGCAGGTAGAGAAAGAGGTACTTTTCTCCCTTTCTCACAATATAAGAACTCGTGGGCACTCAATGAAATTGCTGAGCGGTTGGGTTAGAACGGATAAAAGGAAGTACTTCTTCACCCAAACACATGGAATTCACTGCCACAGGAGGTGGCAGCGGCTACAAGCATGGACGGCTTCAAAAGGGAATTAGATAAGCATATGGAGCAGAGGTCCATCAGTAGCTATTAGCCACAAGGTATAGATAGGGGCTCTGGGGCAAGTGATGCTCTGTCTTCTTGGTGCTTGGGGGGGGGGCAACAGTGGGAGGGCTTCTAATGTCCTGGCGCCACTGATGGACCTCCTGATGGCACCTGGTATTTTTGGCCACTGTGTGACAGAGTGTTGGACTGGATGGGCCTTTGGCCTGATCCAACATTGGCGTCTCTTATGTTCTTATGACATCCAGTCACATGGCCTCCCCTGCAATGTGGTCCTTGGGAAAACTGCTATGATTGCCATCTATCCATCTAATGGAGCCAACAGATAAATTGTCGCCATTTTAAGCTAATTTTAATCATTTTTAATTTGCTGCTGAATTTTGTTGATTATATTCGAAATTAAATTTTCATGGTTACCCGCCCTGAGCCCGCAATGCGGGAATGGGCAGGATATAAATATGATAAATAAATATCTTGGATTAGAAAGTGCTCCTAGCAATGTATTTGAAATTAACATAAGGGCAGCTGTGGACCTGTTGTTATTGTAGAGCATCAGGAAACATGAGCGTCTTGTGTTTCTTCTTCCTCTGCACCTCTGTGTTGTCTGAAATACAATTCTTACGACTTCCCCTGCCTGGTGAAAATCTCTGTCTAGTTTTCGTACTGCAGATTGGTATAATCTGAATGTGTTGAGAATGGAGTCAAAATTGCTTGATCAGTATGTCATTGGAAAGACATTGCTAAACATGAAAGTGAACAATGGGGGAAATGACTTATTTGCAAGGCTGATTCTTTCCTGAGTGCTGGCACTAACCGATTAACTTTTTTTCTCTTCACAGCTGTTTGTAAACAAGGATGTAATTTAATCCGTGGGGGCTGCTCTGTACCTGGGGAGTGCAAGTAAGTATATATATGTAGATTTGGATATTTTCCCCCAAAATACTTGCTTTTGTATAGTAGGGATCCATTTCATGTTCCTGTGGAAAAGAACTAAAGATCAAGCACACCTATTTCCTTCCCTTAAAAAGTTTTGTGTCGGAGTATTTGTTTGAGGGGTCTCAGTCTCCTATCTTGCTTGTTTCCAAAAGTTTCTGTTGTTTTTTAGAACAGGCTTGTAGTGTTCACAACTTTGATATCTAAGACATGGCGTAAACTGTTAGAGGGATAGCACCTTGCTCATGTACGCTTTTGTCTAGCAGCACCAAAGGCGAGTAAAACTAATGGAGAAATGGTGAGATTGATTGCTCCCATTGCCCCCTGTAAAGGAATAGGCTTGTAGTGTTCAGAACTCTGATATCTAAGACATGGTAAACAGAGGGATAACACCTTGCTCATGTACGCATTTGTCTAGCAGCACCAAAGGCCTCTTGAGTAAAACTGATGGAGAAATCGTAAGATTGATTGCTCCCATTGCCCCCTGTAAAGCTGTTTTAGGCTGGGTCAAGCCATTGGTCCATAGCCTGGAACTGTCGACTAATTATCAATGGCTGCTTTTAGCTGGATTGTCCACAGACTGAACCTTCCGCTCACAAAAGCCTGTTCTGCCATAGAGTTATGACTCCTCCCCTTCTTAGTCAGCATTCTGGCCGTGTCTTGTCAGCAGCTGGAATTTTCGAATGTATTCTATATTGCAGGATATCTTAACCTTCCTTGTCCTTGTAAAATGAGACACTTAATCACTTGCATTAAAGCGGTAGTCTGGTTTTTATGAGTGAACGTTGGTCTAAAATATCGAGTGTCCCATGTAATGCTATACAAATCCAATGCATTTCCTGACAGGACACAAACCTCCATGATCTCCTAAAGCAGAGGTGTCTCTTTTCAGACAAACAGTAGGCACACTGTGAACATACGAAGCTGTCTTATACTGATTCAGACTCTTGGTCCATCAAAGCCGGTAATGTCTGCTCAGGCTGGCAGTGGCTCTCCAGGTGTAATGCTATACAAATCCAGTGCATTTCCTGACAGGACACAAACCCCCATGATCTAAAGCAGAGGTGGCTCTTTTCAGACAAACAGTAGGCGCACTGTGAACGTACGAAGCTGCCTTATACTGATTCAGACTCTTGGTCCATCAAAGCCAGTAATGTCTGCTCAGACTGGCAGTGGCTCTCCAGGGTCTCAGGCAGAGGCCTTTCCCATCGCCTCCTGCCAGATCTTTTAACTGGAGATACCGGAGATTGAACCTGGGACCTTCCGCATGCGTAGGATATGCTCTACTACTGAGCCACGGCCCCTGCCCTAAATTGGAGGAACTTCTATCTATCATTAAAAACATTCTTAGACTATACTGGGACTTCATAAACGTTGATTTGAGAGCAGACACATCCAATGAAATTAGTGTGCTGAGGGCTAAAAAAGTGTGCACTAGTGCATGCTAGCGCAGCTTAGAGGGAACATATAGAAATGCTGTGGCAGGAGCCTTCTGTGTGGAAAGTTCCATCAAGTCAGCACCAACTTGTGGCGACCCCATAGGGCTTGCAAGGCATGAGGCAAACAGAGGTGGTTTGCCATTGCCTGCCTCTGCATACCAACCTTGGACTTCCTTGATGGTCTCCCATCCAAGTATTAATCAAAGCTGACCTTGCTTACATTGTTCTAAACCTTGACTTAACTTTTGCAGCCGTATCTCTCAATACCTAGGAATTAGTGGTTGTGAATGGCTGAAGTCCCTTGTACTTGCTGACCGCATTGCCCAGTGATGTAGAAGGCATGGGGCTGGCCAGGGAAGTGTCTTGAATGAGAGAAAACATACAAATCTGAATTTTGAATAGGGAAGATCACAAAATACAATTGCACCAGATTCTGTCATCCAATCAGACTCCCCACCCACCCCCCGGGCTCTTCCTTGGAGTGAATTGTGATCTGTGGGATTTCTAATGAGTGGCGTGAACGTCAAATTAAATTTTCCAACCACTCCCCCCCCCCAATGCCCACCTTTTCCACCAGCAGTGGATATTGTTGGGGGGAAATGCCCTTAACTGTGGGAGTGCATTTCTGCATCCACAACTATTGCTCTGTTTCACTGGAGACTTGTGCTTGAATGTGCAAACTTGCACACCAGTGTTCCCTCTAAGCTGTGCTAGCATGCACTGGTGCACACTTTTTTAGCCCTCAGCACACTTATTTCTGAGTCAGCCAGGCTCCACATGAAGGTCGGGGCACAGCCTGCCTGGCTTGACGTTATCACTCCCCACCTTAAAGCCACCTGGCTCCTCCTCCTCCTGCTGTCCTGCCTTCTCCCAATGCCCTTTACAGACGCTCCCTGCGTGGCTTCTTCGCTCGCTGGCTGGGGCGCTTGGCTGCGGCTGCAAGACCCAGGTAAGAGTGAGAGAGAGAGAGCCAGGCCTGTAGCCATGGGTGGCTGACTGACAAGGGCGATGGTGCACCCAAAATGTGCCCTGCCCCACCAATCAGCTTTTCTCCTGCTGTAGAAGGAGCCAGCCACTGGCCCTAGGAGTTGGAGAACCCATCTGTGTCCACCTGGGATGGACTGTCTGGGTAAGAAAAGCCCTGCACGTGACGGCAAAAAGTGCCCCGTGGCTTGCTGTGTGGTGGTCTCATCCGCCCCTCACCTCTCCCCTCATCCCGGTGCCTTCAGGCTCTTCCACATTCCCGCCTGTTTTGATTCTCTCCGTCTTCCCTAAATGGACACGATGCGCTTTCTTATTTTCTTTTCAACCCACGGAGTAACTGCCCTTTCTTGGCTTTCTTACTTTCTTCTCCTGTTTTCTCTCTCTCTCTCTTAAAAAATTCTGTCTTCATCTGCGTTTGTCTTATTTCCTTTTGGCACTCCTTGTGCCTTTTAAAAAAGCTGCCCTTTTTTTCTTTAACTGCCTTCCTCCAACATCATCGCTTCTACCATGCAGTGTGTGTTTTTACGCCAGGTGCTGTCCCCCCCCCCCCCCCGCGGCCCCCT